AAACATTGGGCAAAGACGGAGTCTGCAAGAATGGAGCTTTTGTAGCACAAACACAGCTCTGTTGGGGTTTAAATTAGATTTCCACTGACCTTTTTGAGCCCATCGTTCAGCCACCCACACCAAGCAGCCCCTCTTAGCAAGACTGTGCAGCCCCCAGCCTGGGAAGAGGAACAAACCCCCAGAGAATTGGCTGTGCTCCCAGGGAACCCCCACAGCCCTCCCAGCACCGCTCCTGCCGCACAAACTGCTCAGCTGCAGGGCTGCAAAGCTCCTCCAAAGGAAAGCTGCACAAAATCCAAGCTCAAGCTCAACCTTAACCCCTGTTTATTAACTTAAGAACATCCCTGTCAGGGTGACAAAGCCCGTGCATCACCTGCCAACTGTCTCATTCACCACTAGGAAAGCAAAGGCCAGCCCTGCCTCATTAAAAAGCATTACATAACATTAAGTAACAAAGGGCTACAGGACATTCTTTGCTCGGTGGACATGTAAAAATGAATGACTCAAAAATTAACGCTCCTTTCCTCCAGACTCCAGCACCCTGGGAGGCCAAGAGCACCTCATTTCCAAGGCAACAGTGCCTTGCCTCATCCCAAATCCTGCTCTCACATCCAACTTACTGCCACCCCTGCCCTGCAGACACTGCACAACAACACACAGCAGTGCCCAGCTCTCGCTCAGAGCAGTCCCCAGGCACCAGGGGATGTGTTTGTGCTGCCTGTGGCACTGGGACCCTTCCCCAGCTCAGCTGGACCTCGCTGGGCAGGATTTTGGGTTTCCTCCATGTCACCATCTCAGTGCAAGCCTTTCACAGGCAGAGCACCTGATTTCACTGTCACCACAAGGCCTCAAGAGCTGTGTTTCCCATGAGTGAGGAGGATTCTGCTGTGATTGTTTCAAGTGCCAGGGGCCCGATGCAGTGGGGAGGCAGGTGACAGCAGGGCACTGCTTGGAAAGGCCACTGCCACCAACCTTCTAGCACAACAGACTCCATAAACACTGGGAGATCCTCCTGGAGACACAGAACTCCTATCCACCATCTCACTGGAGCCAAAGAAACCAATTTAAAGTCTTTACAGAACTAATTGAATTCCTGATGCAGTGGGGAGGCAGGGGACAGCAGGGCACTGCTTGGAAGGGCCACTGCCACCACCCCCCCCAAGCAGAACAGACTCCCTAGCACTGGGAGATCCTCCTGGAGACACAGAACTCCTATCCACCATCTCACTGGAGCAAAAAAAGCCAATTTAAACTCTTCACAGAACTAATTGAATTCCTGTGCTTCAGGAGCAAACCCTCCTTACTGTGGGCGGTGGGTGAAACCAGAGACTTCCTGCTCCCTGCAGCATTTTGAAACACCCTGCAAAGCCTTACCTAGAAGTTTCAGCTTACCTGAAGAGCCATTTCCTACACCACACAGGGCTGATGGTGGGTGCTGATCTGCTGTTGCACGCTCTGAAGGCAGTGAGTGGAAGGCAGAGAGACATTCTGTGGTTTTACAGCCCCTGCTGCGGGGCTGTGAGTGGGGGCTCACAGCTCTGAGCACCACAGGAACCTCACAGGGTGGGACAGACAAGGCAGGGGTGTGCTGGAACACCTCAGAATGGAATCACAGAATGGTCTGGGTTGGAAGGGAGCCTACAGCTCACCCAGTTCCACCCCCTAATCCTTTGCACTACTCCAGGGTGCTCCTTTGATCCAACCTGGCCTTGGAACTTCCAGGGTCGGGGCAGCCACAGCTGCTCTGGGCAACCTGTGCCAGGGCCTCCCCACTGCCACAAGCAGGAATTTCTTCCCAGTATCCATCTAACCCTGCCCTGTGTCAGGGGAAGCCATTCCTCCTCGTCCTGTCACGCCAGTTCCTGGTGCACAGGCTGCTTTTTCCAAGGCAGTTATTAGAAATAATGCATCAATGCAACAGGCAAGGGAGGGGCTGCCCACAGGAAGGGCTGCAGGGCTACAGCCTGGGCAGGAATTTAGAGTTCTTCAGGAGGAGGAGGGCAGCTGGTGTGAATCAGGGAGCCTGACACAGGAACCTGAAGCTCCACACTCAGCTACCCCAGCAGAAAATCACCTTTTTACCTCCCTCACAACCCAAGCTGCTGCTTCTCTACAGTGATGAATCTACCAGAGACAGCAAGTGGCAGCAGGAAGTAGAAGCAGCCTCTCACGAAACCCCAAAACCATTCACAGAGCTTTTCTGACAGGAAGATGACTTGTCCTCCTGCAGAACCCCAGAGCTGCTGGGACCTGCTCTCCCTCCCAGCTCACAGGAACAGCTGGACAGAAGCAGACTCCAGGTCACACCATGTCTGAGCAAAGGAGGCTCAGGTTCACAGCTCCTCACTGCACCCACAAGGAGCCACGTCTGCCCAGGCACAGCCCAATTACAGGGCTGTGGGCAGAGCTGTTCCCACAGGCTCTCAGCAAAAAGGCAAACACACGAAGGAAGCTCCTGTGCTGGCACCCAAGTGTGTCCCTGCTCAGCAGCACCACAAGGGAAGAGCTCTGACTCCTCAAACTGCAGTGGGCAGTCCCAGGAGCAGCACAGGGCAAACCAGGCCACTGCCCTCTGCTACCAAACCCCTGCAGAGCCAGGGGAGGGTCTCCTCCCCAGCCCAGGGGCTGCAGCTCTCCTGCTCACCCCAGCACAGCACATCAGGGCTTGCTGCTCACCCGAGGCTTCCTCAGCCCTCCCTTCAGTGCCTGTGGAGCTGCAGTTCCTGTCTGAAGGCAGAGATAAACAGCTTCCTACCCACCCTGGGCTTGCAAAGGCCAGGCACACACCTGGAGGCACAGCCAAGCACAGGAGGGCTGCTCCAGCACAGCTCATCCCAGCTAGGAAACAACAGGGAAGGGGTTGGACAGGGGGAGACAGCTCCAGAGCACAGCCAGGCCCCAGCAGAGCAGAGAGGTTTATTGGCAGCTGCTCTCAGACGTTGTTGTGTCTTCCAGTCCAGAGGGGCTGGAGGGGGGGGAGGAACCACCGATTGTCCACGAGCACAGCCCTCATGTCATTCCCATTGATCCGCTGAGTCACTCCCGAATGAACAGTTTTGACAACAGCCTGGGCTGCACAGGAGCTCTGACACGGAATACAAAACGAGGGGCACGCTGAGGAGGCTGCTCTGAGAGCAGCACCAGGAACCTGCTGAGCCACCGGGGCCAGGAGCTGCACCCAGAGCAAGGGCAGAGCTCACAGCTCCCGCCAGGGAGGCTGCTGGACATGGAGCACACAGCTCCATCCAGAGCACCCAGCTCCCATCCAGCTCCCATCCACAGCACACAGCTCCATTCTGCACCCAGCTCCCATCCAGAGCAACCAGCTCCCATCCAGAGCAACCAGGGAAGCTCCTGGACACCATCTCTGCCCTGCAAACCACACCAGCTGCACCCCATGGATGCAGGAGCAAACAAAGCAGCTGCTGCTTTGGCAAAGGAGAGATACAAGTGATTTTAAAGTGATTTATAAGGCCTCACAGAGGAGATCAAACCCCTAAACCACCTCTCCAGGCTCAGAGATCTGAGCACCCCCTCCAGATTTCATGTTCCCACAGATCTGAGCATGCTGGTGGTGTTGGACCAGGCAGCACCACAACCCTGCCAGCACCCCAGAGCTGCTCAGGAGTGATAAAACACTGACCAAACAACGTCCCTATCTGCACCGTACCAAATGAAAGCAAAACCAACAAATCTTTGGCAAGTTCCTCACAGCAGCCAAGCCTATCCTGCCACGGCAAAGGCTCCCCATGGAGGCCTCCTGCCCTAATTTGCAGCAATTCTTTGTCAGACCACTGGCAAACACCAAACGTTTGCTCCAATCTGTTACATAAGGCCCAGTTTTCAAACCTGTGTGCTGGCCGTGGGGAGATGGGGGCACACAGTGTGTGGCAGCCTGGTTGGCATGTGAACTCACACACCCCTCAGAATGCACTTCCACACCTCCAACCACTTGTTGTGTGGAAGGAAAACAAACAGATTAGTTAAGGAGGCAACTTCCAAAGGTTTTACACACCTTTCAACCCGGGTCCAGCCTAACTTGAACTGTTTGGAACCGACTGATATCACGGCAACTCAAAAGGCGTTTGTAAAACTTTGCTTTTTAACTTTAAAATACACCAAACACGGCAAGTCCTCAGCCTGCCCAGCACACAAAAGAAAAGGCACCTTCCTGACCATCCCCACAACTTCCCGTTGTTCGCTGCCCGAGATGCAGAGCCCTGGCTCGGCTCCCTCCTGCCAGCCAGCCACAGGAGCCACGGGCCTCGGGCAGAGCCTCCTCATTTGCAAACCTCCAACAGCTCAAGTCGGCTCCTGTCTGCTGGGGGCAGGAGGGGGAGGGCACTTTTCCCTTTCCTCGCATTCATCCTCACCCGCTTCGCTGAAGGAAAAAAAGCCGTTTGAAATACCAGCTTCAGCACGGTCCTTTCCCCAAATAAACACTTCCCAAGCCCTCCGGAGGGAGGAAAGCCACATACAAAGGAGCCAACACGCTGCGAGGCTGGGGCAGGCTGCGGGGACACGGCGGGGCCCATCCGACCCCATCCCCGCCGCCCGCCCGGCCTCGGGGACACCGGGGGCTGGCAGCCCTTCCCGGGGCCACAGAACCGGCACGGCCGGGAGGGACGGGGCGAGGCGGCCCTGGGCCCTCACACCGGCCCGGCCTGACCCCAGCGCGGCTCCAGAGCCGCCCCCAGCCCCCGATCCCAACGTGACACCCTCAGCCCCCCACTGTCCCCGGGCCCAGACCGACCCCTCCTCGGCCCTACCGCCCGGCGACCTCTCCATGCCGAGCCGGGGCCTCTCCCGGCACCCCCGCGACCCCCGGAGCCCCTTCCCCTCTCCGGGCCCCTCCCGCCGTTCAACCCCCCCCGCCACCGCCCAGGCCCCGCCGCCCCCGCCCGCGGCGCCGCCCGGCCCGGCCGCCCCTCCCCGGTGCCGGCCGAGCGGAACCGAGGCCGCAGGGCCCCCGCCGTCCCCCGGTGCTCCCCCGGTGTTACCTCGGCGGTCCCTCAGCGCCGGGCGGCGGCGCCGCTGCCCCGCGGCCGCTCCCCCATGGCGGCGCCCCCGGCCCGGCCCCGCTCGCCTCCCCTCCGCCGCTGCGCCAACGGCGTACGGCCCGCGCTGCGCCAACGGCGTACGAGCCGCGCCGCGCCCGTGCGCGCCCGCGCGCCAGCGGCGCAACAGCGCTTGGTGAATACGGGCGGCGGGGCGGAGCGCGGCGCAAGCGCAGCGGGCGCGAGGGTGGCGGCGCAGCGGCGCTGGCGTAGGGCGCGTTCGGGAATAGCGGCCGGCAGGCGGCGGCTTTGCGGCTGTGCGGCAGCGCCGCGCGCTTTACGGCAGCTCCGGTTAACCCCGCGCTGCCTGGCGCCGCTGTCGGGACCGGCGCCGCTGTCGCGACAGGGCCCGCGCTGCCTCAGCGCCCTGCGGGGATGGAGGGCGCGCCTCTCACACAGGGAGCACACCGCGCTGTAGGGGAACCCGTAGGGTCCGGCCCCACTGGTGGATGTGGCTCCGGTGTGGGTTATCGCGATGCTGTCGCGATATGGATCCCACCGTGCAGGCGGGGCACAGGCCTGTTGCAGGGAACGGCATGGGGGGTATGGACCCCGTTTTAGGGGACAGGCCCTGATATGTGAGTGAGCCCCACACCGGGGTACAGCCCTGGTTTGGGGTACAGCCCCTTTTTGGCGTAAAACCACCGTTTTGGGGTAAAGCCCCTGTTTGAAGGTACATCCCTGTTTTGGGGCAAAGCTCCTGTTTTGGGTACAGCCCCTGGTTTGGGGTACAGCCCTGGTTTGGGGTGCAGCCCCTATTTTGGGGTAAAGCCCTGTTTTGAGGTAAAGCTCCTGTTTTGAGGTACAGCCCCTGTTATAAGGTACATCCCTGTCTTGGGGTAAAGCCCCTCTTTTGGCGTAAAGTTCCCGTTTTGGGGTACAGCCCTGTTTTGGGGTAAAGCCCCTCGTTTGGGATAAAGCCTTTGTTTTGGGGTACAGCCCCTGTTTTAAGGTACATCCCTGTCTTGGGATAAAGCCCCTGTTTTGGGGTACAACTGTATTTGGGGCACAGCCCTGTTCTGGGGTAAAGCTCCTGTTTTGGGATGTTTTGGGGTACAGACCCTGTCTTGGGGTAAAGCCTTTGTTTTGGGGCACAGCCCCTGTATGTGGATACAGACTTTGCTCTGGGGTACAGCCCTGTTTCGGGGTACAGCCCCTCTTTGGGGCACAGACCTGTTTTGGGGCACAGACTTGCTTTAGGATAAGGCCCCTGTTTTGGGGTACAGCCCCATTCTGGGGTCCAGCCCCTTTTTCGGGCACATTTCCCTCATCCCCACACCCATCCCCACCCCAGGCCCTCTGGGGCAGGGACTGGGGCCGTGCAGAGGGGCACAGCTGTGGCACCCACCCCATGGGGACAGAGGGTGGCATTTTACAGCATTGTCACCTTTCTGGGGCCATCAGCCCCGAGCAAAGCCACTCTGAGGGAAACAGAGGCACTGCCTTGCAGGGAACAGAGCTCCAGGACTGGGAACTGCTGGGACAGTGTGGGGGTTTTAGTTTGAACTGGGCAGAAATACTAATTTTATGTAATTTTGGTTTGCTAATTGGAGATTTCCTTAATTTTGAGATTTTTTTTTTGAGGTGTCCTGAGCAGGGACACAGACCCCACTGCCACCTCCTGAAGCCTTTAATTTTCTTCTGATTGCTCACCTGGGGACAAACACTCCATCCTCCATCCCAGTGCCCCTCAGTGAAGGAGGGCACAGCCAGAGCATCATTTCCTTCTCACCCCTTTTCTCTCAACCCCCAATTTGAGGCTTTCAGGGTAAGGCTGGAGGGAGGGGACACCCCTGCACGACCCTGCTGGTCACATCTTCACCACAGCATGGAGCAGATGCACCCCAAAAGTATTTTCAGGCAATGGGTAAATGAATTTGTGTGGGTTTGGGGGACAGCACCACCCCAAGTACCCATTTCAGCATTTCCAACTGCTTGAGTTGGTTCTTTTCTCCTGTCACAGAAATATTCCAGGGAAAAGCTCTCCCCACAACGTTTGGCTGCAGGACTTTTCCCTGTGGGTGTTTGCTCCTACCAAAAAAGCTGATTTTAGAGCATCAGGAAAATTCTGAATGTGTGAATTTCAGCTGCTCCCATCCCTGTTCCTGTGTTGTGGCCTGGCTCAGGAGGATGCTGGGGTGCTGTGACACATGTCCTGCCCCTGGGGAGGATAAAATCACCCCTGGATAGGATAAAATCACCCTTTGAGAGGATAAAATCACCTCTGGAGAGGATAAAATCATCCCTAGAGAGGATAAAATCACCCCTGGGGAGGATAAAATCACCCCTTGGGAGATAAAATCACCCCTGAGGAGGATAAAATCACCACTGGAGAGGATAAAATTACTCCTGGAGAGGACAAAATCACCCCTGAGGAGGATATAATCACCCCTAGAGAGGATTAAAATCTCCCCTAGAGAAGATAAAATCACTCCTGAGGAAGATAAAATCACCCCTTGGAAGATAAAATCACCCCTGGGGAGGATAAAATCACCCCTAGAGAGGATAAAATCACCTCTGGAGAGGATAAAATCACCCCTAGAGAGAGTAAAATCACCCCTGAGGAGAATAAAATCTAAAATCACTCCCAAGTAGGATAAAATCACCCCTGAGGAAGATAAAATCACCCCTGGAGAGGATAAAATCACCCCTAGAGAGGGTAAAATCACCCCTGAGGAGGATAAAATCTAAAATCACTCCCAAGTAGGATAAAATCACCCCTGGAGAGGATAAAATCACCCCCAAGGAGGATAAAATCACCCCTGGAGAGGGTAAAACCTCCCTGGACCCTCCTTTTCCTATCTGCCCCATCCCACTCCCCAACTCTGCAATTTTGTGTTGATTTCACACACTTTGAGAACTCCCAAGTTGCTCAGGCATTTGGCTGGAGAACTGAACCACCCTCTGGAGCAGGAGAAGGGGGAAGAAAAGAGTTTGGATTTTATTTCAAGGCAGATCTCCAGCAGGGAGCACACGGGGTGCCAAAGGCCTGCAGAGACACGAGCAGCTCATGCCACAGAACCAGCACGGGGAGCAGGAAAATCCAGGGAATTTCTGGTGGGAAATCATCCAGCCAGGAGCCCCGGCCCTCTCCTGTGGGCTCCACACGCTTTGGGCTCATTCACAAGCAGACAACACAAAGGGAGCACTGGGACTGCACAGGAGAATGAGCAATGAGCTGCCCCAGGGTGGGTGGCAGCACCTTCCCAGCTGGAACTGCAGAGGGACAGAAACACAGCAAGAACCAGAGAAAAGGAAAATCCAGGCCCTCCCAGTGCCCCTCACACCCTGATGGAGAATCCAGAGCTTTTTGGGGACTCCTCGGGGTGAGGGGCTGAGCTTGGCTGCACAAGCACCCCCATTCCTGACAAACCCTGCAGCAGAGGCAGAAAATCCCCTCATTCCAAGTGCCAAGGTCCTGCTCGAGCAACAGCTGGAGCAGGAGCTTAAAATGTTCCTCATGCTCAGATTTGGAGGCCCTGGAGCAAGAATTTGAGGGAAATCCAATTCATCCTCCTGCTCAACACATCAGGGCACAGCAGCAGCTGTAGGGAAGCACTGTCAGGGAGAGGAGGATGATGAGGGCCAGGCAGGGGGAGCCTGGCACAGGGCTTGGAGACAGGAATACACTGAGATCAGCAGATGTCACATCAACAGCTGTGAGGGAAATGCCTCTTCTAGGATGAAATATCTGCCATGGAGTGGAACTGGGGTGTGACACCACAATGTGGTGATTTCCATGTTCCCACCTGGAGTTGTGTCCAACTCTGGGGACCCCACACAGGAAAAACATGGACCAGGGGAGGCCATGGAGATGCTGCCAGGGCTGGAGCCCCTCTGGAGCCAGGCTGGCACAGCTGGGCCTGCTCACCTGGACAGGAGAAGGCTCCAGGGACACCTCAGAGCCCCTTTTGGGGCCTGAAGGGGCTCCAGGAGAGCTGCAGAGGGACTGGGGACAAGGCCTGCAGGGACAGGACACAGGGAACGGCTCCCACTGCCACAGGGCAGGGCTGGGTGGGAGATTGGGAATCAGGAATTGTGGAATCCATCCCTGGAATGGATTTCCCAGAGCAGCTGGGGCTGCCCCTGGATCCCTGGCAGTGCCCAAGGCCAGGCTGGACAGGGCTTGGAGCAACCTGAAGGTGTCCCTGCCATGGCAGGGGTGGAATGGGATGAGCTTTGAGGTCCCTTTCAACCCAAACCATCCTGGGATTCTCTGAACATGTCAAGATATTTTGGCCCAAATATTGCAAGATGAAGAAAAGCAGCACCACCCAGGCAAGAGGCTTCTCAAGCTGGACAGGGCTTGGAGCAGCCTGGGACACTGGGAGGTGTCCCTGCCATGGCAGGGGTGGCACTGGATGGGCTTTAAGGTCCCTTCCAACACAAACACTCTGGGATTCTGTGATAACTTTGGAAGAACATTTTGGACAATAAATTCAGCCACATCCTAAAAGGATTCAACTCACCTTCACTGTCCAAGCCCATTTACTCCAGGGGTAAGAGTCTCCTTCCAGGCAGTAACTGGGGAAAGCAGACACCAGCACTGCCAGGGGCTCTCTGCACTATGGAAAGGCCACAAAAATGACCCCAGTGCTTGGGAGATGGGGCTTTCCACACATCTGCTCTCCAGTCCTTACAAGATGGGAACAATGGCAGCACCTTTGGTCAAAGCTGCATCTCTAAGAGTACAAACCACAAGAAGCCACTCACAGCAGGCCCCAGCACAGAGGATGAGCCTCATCCCTCAGTGTGCTGTTCTTTCACAGAGAAAACAACATGCAGTGGGAGACTTTGGAGGAACACAGAGATTTTTGCCATTTCCCTCTGCCAGATAACTCTGGTTACCTAGGAACAGACACTTCTCTCTGCGGCCAGTTCTCCTCATCAAGCACAGGATGAGCATTTATTGTCTTGTGATCAGGAGAAAAACATAAAACAAAACCCAGAGCTCCACAGGTGACACGAAACATCACACACAGACACGGCACGTGACGCCCGACCACACCAGGAGCCAGGGCCGGGTTAATGATGTTAAGAACTTTTAGAAATCTATTAATGTAAACATTTAAAAACATACAGAGGAGTCCAAAACAAAGCAAAAAATAAAAAAAATTAAGCCAGTTGTTCAGGCAGCTTGTTGGACTTTCTGGAATTACGGTTTCTGGCATTGAAGAGGAGGGAGGGGATGGGATGGAGCTCCCACCTGGAGGTGCATTGATCTCCACAGGGATCTCAGGCAGTGTAGCCTAACAGGGTGTGAGTTTGGTGTCCAGCTCCAACCATTGTGGTGGGCAGGCTCCCAGGCACCCCCTCTCCTTGCAGCAAACATTTCCAGTGTGGCTGAGGGTGGGTGCTTCAACACAGCCCCCAGATTCTCCAAGGGGAAAATCCCAAAGAGAAACAGGATGTGGAGCCCCCAGCAACGCTTCTCCTCTTGGCTCCTTCAAAATCCCCAACTTGACACACTGAAATGCAGCAGGTATCAAATGGTTTTGAGGAATTTTGGCAAAGGGCAGGACTGAGGGACATGTCCTGGCTGCCAGGTGTGGCCAATGGCACCTTCAGCCCTCACCCCCTGGTGCATCCATCGTATTTCCAGGCAGTTCTTCCATCACTCCGATGGCAAGCGACAAAGAACACTTAAAATTACACCTGACATTAGACAAAGGCACCTAAAAGCTTCACAATGCCATCAGGTCATGTTCTGTTCAGAAGGCTCCAAGAGCTCCTCCTGCCAAGCACATTGCACACTCTCCAGGAAAACCCCTGGTGTTGGGAGCACGTCCCAGAGCCAGTGCAGGGGGGTCAGTGTGGCTGTAAACGGAAATTTGGGGAAATTTGGGGAAATCTGGGGTGGTTTTTGCTTTGGCCCTGGTAACACAGGGGTCATGCAGACTCCAGGCTGTGCTTCCCTCATTATTTACAGTTTGACACAGGACAAGTTAACAGGGAAATTCTGCAGGGGCAAGCAGGAGCTCTCCTCTGTGAGCCGTGATTTCATTAGATAAGGCACATGTAGAGAAAAAATTTCAAAAGATCACTTGCAAATCAATTCCACCTAGCTAGTACCATGTCCCTGTCCCTTTCCAGGAGCCAGTGTTGTTTTCCAGTTGCTCAGTGTGAATTTGGGAATTTGGAATAACCCCAACAACAGCCTGCCAAGGCAGCAGGCTCTGGGTCTGATCCCCAGGGTGCCCAACCCCTCCTTGGTCTCCCAAATAGAGCACTCTGGATCATTGGCCAAAACTTTGAGAGCCAAAGACTTGGAACACTCACTCCCTATAAAAAAATTGGGAACTGACCTCCCAGTTTAGACAGGTTTTAAAAAATTCACAGCAGGCTAAGGGGGAAGAGGAAACTGCAGCCTTTGCTGCCTGGGTCGCTGTAGGACACAGGGAATTGGATGGCTCATGCACAGAATGGAGATGAATGACAAGGTGGAGGATAACCTCAGGGAAAACAATCCCTCTCAACAGCTTCATCCTCCCTTCAGCTGATGGCTGGAGAAAGGCAGGAATCTCTCTCTCATGGAAATCCTGCCAGCCAACAGCAGCCATGAGGACTAACAAGCTTCCCTTGGTCTCCCAGACCCCACTGTAATATCTGGAGTTCAGCTACACCAGCAGAAGGCAGAATTAAACTATTCATTGTAACAGAAGCATTTCCAAACCACACTGGGGCTCCAGCACTGAGATCAATCATTATTTTGCATCCAGCACAAAACCTGGCTGGAAGTTTCATGGTGGGGAAATCTTGTGCTGAGCCCCAGGGTGAGCATCACCAAGGCCCAGTGTCAGCTCTGCACTGGTTTCCACTGGGCTTTGATTCAGGCTTGAGCAAGCAATCATGGACCTAAGGAGATGAATCTGCACCTTTGGAACACACAGATCCAGCAAGAGGTTTTGGCAGCAGGGAAAGCAAGAGCTGCAGCATCACAACAGTCTGAGCCAGGCAAGGAGGACTTGTGGGGTTTCCCATCCGAGGACTCACCCAGGGCACCTCTGTTACCTGCAGGATCCTCCCACGGAGGGTGGAGCTTTCACAAATCACTTCAGCCTCACCAGTACCAAATAATTTAAGTGCTGCATTTCCCTTAGAGTGAAAAATTCCACATTATTCATCCAGGAGAGTAAACACCAGTTGCTCTGATTGCTTTTGCTACAGAAGGTGTGGTGCTGTGCTGGGCATTCCATGGGAGCTGAGCAGGAGCAGGGGTAGGAGCAGCTGTGGGAGTGTTGCCATCGTGGGGAAGCTGAGCCTTTTCCAGGGATGCTCAGGAGAGGATTCCCTCAAGCAAGGGCAGTGAAGGGTTTGTTCTCAGTCTGCAACGAGGCAAATACTGGTGACTCAAGGCAAACAAAAAGCTTTCTGCCATGGCCGTGCAGTGCAGTGGAGGTGGGAGGGCTGAGAGCAGGATATTCCTCAGGGATCAGGAGACAAGAACCAGGAAGGTCCTCGAGATGAGTGGGGTGCTTGGGGGGGAATGCAAAAGATCTTTTCCAAGAACAAGAATAAAAAGACCAAAAAGGAGAGACTCCAGGCAGTTTGCAGCTGTTGCTGCTTAAGGCCATTGGTTTGCAGAGGGGTAGTTGGGCACTGTGGGATACTCTGGCAGGCTGTTCCCAGAAAAATTGCTGTACTGGGCTTCCCTGCTGGGAGGGTTCCTCCATGCGCCGCTGTTCCACTCATCTTGAGCCTTCTGGAAGCTTCCACCAGCCCCTCGGTAGATTTTGTGTACCTAAGGGATAAAAGGGAGGACAAGAGGAGGGTCAGCACCAGGAGCCCAGAGCTGAGCCCCTGCAGAGCCACCTGGAACAGGATTTGTTCCTGTCTGTGAAGAGCTGCATTTCTGAGGAGCAAAGCACAAGAAATGCAGTAATGCAGTGAACAGAGGTGCAGACAGAGAATATCAACCCCAAACTTCAACACATTCCAGCAGCATGGCCACAATTCAGGTGGGGGATCCCACAGCAAGGCAGCCAGCCCAGGCCAGGGGGTGGAAACCTCTCCAACAGAGTCCAGCGTACTGCTGCCACTCTGCTCTCCCTGCCTGCCACAGCTTTCCAGAGAGTCCCCCTACAAATCCTTGTTTCTGCAGAGACATGATTCCCACCCTGCCACCTGGTCCCTACTGCAGATGCTTCACCATTGACCATCCCAAGGAGCAACAAATCATGGAATCACAGGATTGCTGAGGCTGGGGAAGACCTCTAAGACCACCAAGTCCAACCATCAGCCCAGCTCCACGCTCATGTTCACCACTGACCCATGTCCCAGGGGCTACCTCCACACATTTTTTGAACACTCCCAGGAATGATGATTCCACCACTACCTTGGGCAGCCTGTTCCAACGTTTTACAATCCTTTCTGTGAAAACAAATGTTTCCTAATATCCAATCCAAACCTCCTCACTTCACAGAGCCTCAGGTTGCTCCACATGAAGCTTGCTTTGCATGACACAAAGCAACATCAGCACATGACACCGTGACAATTTCCAGCCTGAGCTGTCTTGTGCTGTCTGGATTTGTCCTCTAGAAACTCTGAGAGACATCAACTGACTGCACTGTGCAACCTTTCAAAGCACTGATGGCTTGTGGTGGCTGCTGAGCTGCCTCTTCACATTATTGTGATACACAGCAGGGATTCTCCAAGGCACAGAGAGATCTGAAGAATCCCAGAATGGTTTGGGATGGAAGGGACCTTAAAATTCATCTCATTCTGCTCCTGGACACCTTCCTCTGGCAGAACTTACCCTTATAATGCAGATGCACATGGCAACTGCTGACATGGTGAACATGATGGCAGGGAACAGCATGAACACAGCAGCTGCCACGCTGGTGCTGAAGAAGGTGATGGCTGCCAACCATCCACTGCAAGAGATAGAAAAAGAGACACAATAACATTATAATCTGCTTTTCTAAGTGTCCTTGTTATCAGAAAAATTGTTTAAGTGCTTAGAAGGGCCTGGCACAGGGTGCCCAGAGCAGCTGTGGCTGAGAGTGCCCAGGGTCAGGCTGGACAGGGCTTGGAGCAGCCTGGGATAGTGGAAGGTGTCCCTGCCATGGCAGGGGGTGGAATGGGATGGGATTTAAGGTCCTTTTCAACCCAAAGCATTCTCTGTTTCTGTGATTCATAACCCAGAAATTACAAGGCAGCTTTTAAGCTCCTGAAAATGAAATGAGCAATGCAGACAATTGTCAGAATTCAATGCAGGTATCTCCCTGAGATCTCACCTCTCACTTGCCAGCATCCCTCACTAATCCAGTGTGAGAGCTTTAAGGGACAGCCAGCTGCATGGATTTTGGGAAGAGAAGACATATTCCCAAAGTGCTTTTGGTTGTGCATCTAGAGACCAGAACTGGGATCAGGGAACACCAGGGTTCTGTGATTTACACTCCATCTCCATTCCTTTCCTGGCAAAAACCAGGTGAGACATCAGCAATTCTGAAACCAAAGTGTTAAATGGAGTGCCAGAACTTTCCATTACTTGTAGTTTCAGCAGGAATTGCTCTCAAGTCTCTGCAGACAGGAAGTTAAAATGCCAAACAATTATAACACAACCAGGGACAGACACTAACAAGCTCCTATTTATTTTAGGAGAACTCTCACAGTACTTCTCATAGGCCAACAATGAGTCACCACACTGAGCTCACCGTGTGCTGCCAGCACTGAGGGCAGTGCTGAGCCTGACACCGTAAATAAATGGTGAAAGAAATGGACACTGAGGGAAGAGGCTACAGAGAACAACCAGGTGAAAATCACAGAATTATCTGGGTTGGAAGGGACATTGAAGCCCAGCAGACCACATGGGTAGGGACATCTTCCACTAGACCAGGTTGCTCCAAGTTCCATCCAACTTGGCCTTGATTTCTGCCCAACACAGCAATGAAACCCCAGTGGTTTGCTGTGACAGTGTTCACAGGGGTCTGAGGATGAGGGAAGAGATGAGGATCTGACTCCATGTTTCAGAAGGCTTGATTTATTATTTTATTATATATATTATATTAAAACTATACTAAAAGAATAGAGGAAAGGATTTCATCAGAAGGCTGGCTAAGAATAGAAAAAGAAGGAATCATAACAAAGGCTTGTGGCTCTGACAGAGAGTCCAAGCCAGCTGACTGTGATTGGCCATTAATTAGAAACAACCACATGAGACCAATCACAGATGCACCTGTTGCATTCCACAGCAGCAGATAACCATTGTTTACATTTTGTTCCTGAGGCCTCTCAGCTTCTCAGGAGAAAAAAATCCTAAGGAAAGGATTTTTCATAAAATGTCATGGCTACAGTGCACCCCAAGAGCAGTTACAGCTGTGCCACTGGGGAAATCAGAAAGTTTCTTCTTTTCCAGCTTGTACAGGTTCCTATCAGCCTCTCCAAGCCCTTGGAAGCAGCCACAGCCCAGAGCTGCTGGGACATCCCCACTTACCACGCTCCCCATCCGGAGAAGCCGATCGCCTGCAGGACCGTGAGGAGGAACTGAGCCCCAAAGATGAAGAAAAAGGCCATGAAATTAAAGGAACTGTCCGACCTGTGGAGGAAGAAAGGAGGTCAGGGAGGCATTGGCACCTTGTGCTGCTCCATGTCTGACCCCACCATCACATCCAAACCCTCCACAGTGGTGGCTCCAGAGCGTTCCCTCCATGGCTGTGCTGGGAGGTTTCTCCCCTTCCCTGGCAGTGAGAGCACACAGCTCCATGACTCAGCAGCACAGACTGTCTCCTAATAATCTGGCTCTTGAAGTTGCCTTCCCCAAGGAATTGCATGTATGATGACACACAGGAGAGGCTGAGGGACACGAGTCTCCTACACAGAGAGTCTGAATCATTCTCTGACCGAATGTCAGCCCAGCCTGACACCTGCCCAGCTCTGCCCTGGCAAGGAGGCATGCAGGAGTCTGATGCTGGCAGGCAGAGCTTGTCCATGCACTAGAAATGATCACTGAGCAGGAGAATTCCAGCTGGGAACGTCTCAGTGTCTGCTTGTCATCATGTTCCCACACCCATGGTAAACAATCCAGCACTGGGACATCACAGGAGGGAAAACAGCCATGAGAGAGGTGGGTGGTACCCTGGAAGCAGAGGCACACTTCCCATCTCTGCAGGCTCCCCATCCTCAGGATGTACAGGTGAGGTCCTTGAGTTTATGCAGGTACAATAATTAGCATGAAAATGACCCCAAGCAAGAAGCTGACATTCACAGCCTCTGTCATGGGTGCACCTGGCACTGCCTTGCCAAAGTCTGAGCTCTGCTACAACACATCTTCATCCCATCAAACCAGCCACATCAGGCACATCTGAACTTCCTCAAACTATCATTTTTAATGATATAAATGATTCTCATACTCTAAGGAACTCAAAGGGACAATGATTTATCTACAGATCTACAAAAAACGCTTCAGGTGCTTGTGAGGCAGTTTGGTACAAAGGGGATTTAAGAAAAGAGCTCCAATTACTGCCAGCTCCTCCTTAAACCCTGAAAGCATTTAAATGCTTATTATTATAATTATTTTTATTATGCTGATGGTTGTTAGTTTTATAATTCTAGCCCCTGATGCCTTGGGAGGAGATGAGGGAGGTGAGGCACGTTGAGAAGCCTCCAGCCACACCCACGCTGCTCAGAGCTGCCCGTGTTGGTCTGGTGTCTGTCACAGATGGTGGCTCTGGAAGATTTGTTATCCCTGAGTATCCTCACAATCCCACCCTTCAAACACCACCTCAGAGTACAGCATTGAGAAAGAAATACTTTAGGCAGGGCCTGCTGACTGTGGTGCCTGTCAGAATCCAATTAACAAGGATTAGGCTCGAGGCTGAGCCTTCAAACAGATTCTTGCAACTCCGTCCTGAAGGGGCTGGAGGAGTCTTCATTTGAAAGGATCTGCAGGAATTAGTGGGGATACAGAGAAAAGGTGATTTCTCATCCAGCTTTCTGGTGCAGATTTGCTACAGCTTTGCCCTAGCACCAAAGCTCTGCAGCTAATTGAATTTGGGATGCAGTGGGATGAGGAAGGTTTTACAGAAGCATCCTCCCAGCACAGGGTGCCAGCACTGAAGGGTGGCCTCCTCCAGGACAAGCAGGGCTGATTTTGCCTCTGCAATCACCACTTGTGATCCCTGCTCAGTGATTTCCAGCCCAGCTGCTGTCCCAGGGGATGATCCCTGGGCTCCCCACTCTGTCCCTGGGGTTGATTGAATCTTTTTTTAACTGCAAGTCTCTGCACAGAGTAACCTCAGGGACCTCTCAGCATTCACTGCATAAACACATCCAAACAACGTTCAAGGAATAATGAGAAACGGCCCTTGTGGAGCCTGGGGGAGGTCAGCAGGGAGGAGTAATTTTTCCCAGACTTTAGGATGGAAATTCCTCTTTGAACAGAGCTCCAGCACTTGGAGGCCCTGGGGCTTCTGAGCTCAGGATGGGGACAAACTCCAGCCCCACAGGGCAAGAGTTCAGAGCTGTGATTTTCACGTCATTTGGAACTTTGAGACAAATCCAACCCTTCTCTTTCCAGCAGAAATGACCCTCCCCTGTACTCCATGATGCCACTGCTGATTTAACAGCATCCAGCGCCCAGTGCTGTGGGCACACAAAGCATGAGCTCAGAAGGGCATTTAAACAATTAATTTATCATGGGCTAGACAGGACCCACCTGTCACCTTCCATTTCCATCAGCTGCTTTTGCTGTCATCCAAACCAGCTCATCACAGAGTCTGGTGAATAATCAAAATCCAGAGTATCCTACCAGGAATAGCTTCTCTTTCAGAGGGCAAACCCCTGACTGGGGTGTGGTGGTGGCACTGGGAAGGCCCCTCCTTTCCCTGTGTCAGGCTGGGAACTGCTCAGGACCCTCCTGGCTCTACCAGGATTTACACATTAATGTTTGAGTGATGCCTCGTGGTCCCCAGCAAATGCAAATGATTATTAATTAAAGCAAAAATGTAGGATGGCTTTAAATATTTGTGGAGTTTCAGAAGGACTGACTCCAGGGAACTGCTTTTATCTAAAAAGCTAAGCAGACAAGCTCTCAAGTAGCTGGAGACAGGAATCAGAAGAGTTCTCAAAAACTAATAATAGTCTTCCATCAAAATAAGCCTCGATGAAGCTTTACCAAATTAGTACCTATTTTAATGCTGCCTTGAGATGAGGGTGCTGCTAAGTTTGAGATATTGAAGTAAAATATGAATTTAACCCTCTTAGAAGTGCCAAACTTATGTGACCCTCACCTCCAACCTTATGTGACCCTCAGTCCTGTATCTAGCATTTAGAAATAGCCACATTTTTCTTCATTTTGGAAGTAAACAAGACATTCAGACATGAGGTGCTGAACCAGGGAAACAAGCAGAGAATAATAACAATAACAATAATAACCAGGGAAACAACCAAAGAATAATAACAGTGACAATAACAACCAGGGAAACTTGCAGAGGGAACTGCAGCAGCTGCACCTGCTGGGCTGGCACTCACCGAAAGGCTTTGTAGGCGGGTCGGAACCAGCAGATGTAACCACAGGGGCTGAAGAGGATGAGCCAGAGGATGGCCAGGCCAAAGTTGGCCCCAGAGCCTCCCCCAATCCACCAGGCCAGGCAGGCGATGAGGTTCACGGCCAGCGTGATGCAGTAAACTGGGGAGAGGCACAGGAGAGAGCGTGGGCTGGGGCACTCCCAGGATTTTGGGAGAAAAGGAAACAAAAGATAATGGCTGGGGCTGTGTGAGGGGGTTGGCATGGAGCTCAGGGAAAGGTGCTGGGCACTGCCCAGGCTCCCCTGGGAATGGTGCCAAGGCTGCCACAGCTCCAGGAGCATTTGGACCCTATTACAGTGACCTGAGTGGGTCGCTGGGGTGGTGAGAGAAGGACGAGAATCTTGTTTCTTGATCAGAAGGCTGAATTTATTGATATATGATATATAATACATTATAACTATACTAAATAGAATAAAGAGAGAAGTTGCAGAGGCTTGCTAACTAAGAATAGAAAGAAAGAATCTAAAAACAAGAGAATTCTCTGTCCCTGTGTTCCAGAGAGCTTGCCCTGTGATTGGCTCTAATATTGTACACATGGAACATGAACCAATCACAGGTGCATCCTATTGCATTGCACAGCAGCTGATAACAATTGTTTACATTCTCTTCTGGGGCCTCTGCCTCCCAGAAGACGCAGAAATCTTAAAGAAAGGATTTCTGTGAAAAAATGTCTGCGACAGGACCCCACTCTCAGAGTTGTTGGGGTCTCCTGGTTAACACTAGGAGCTGGACTGAGGGTAGTTGGGGATCCCTGCTAACTCAGGATAGCCCAGGAGTCTGTGAAGCCCCCAGGGTTGCAGTGGGAAGGGTCCCTGGGGCAGCAGGGCAGTTGCTCTGAGCGAGGCACAGGCTCCTGTGTCACCTGGGAGCACAGGAACATCCAGCTCCAGAGGGATCCTGCAGCACAGGGATGAGGGAATCTTTTACCACCTGCTTTTACCTCTCTCAAAACATGGAAAGCTTTGGTAGCAACTGATGTGACCAATGCAAGACTCAGGCCAGTGTTATTATAATATATAATTATGAGCAAGGTCTAATTTCCATTTATAGCAAAACCCCTTTGTGAGAGGAGAGGGGGGTGACCCTAGCCCTGCCTCTGAATGATTCTGTGCTTCTGGGGCTGCCTCAGGAGCTCTCTCTGAGCCAGCTCAGTGCCTTGCAGGCTCTCTCTGCTTCCCTGGGCCTCTGAGGAAGCCTGGATATCAGCCTGGGGCTTGGCAGTGCTGCCTTGAGCAAGGGGATAAACAAACTCCAATCAAGCTGAGAATATGGAACCACAGGGGTGGCTTAGAGGCCTTTTCACATCCCTGTTCCTGTCACTTGGATAAAAAGGAACAGTTGACAAAGGCCCCCAGGGCACAGCAGTGCTGCACTAGGTAGCAGTATATGAAGGGATGCTGCTCCCCATTTTCCTGGAGCTCACTTCCCTGGAAAGGGGGGTCAGCCCCAAGCCAGGGGCTCCCACAGCTGTCCCTGCATCCCCCCAGGCTCTGCCAGGCTCAAAGAGGCCAATTTACAAACCCCTGTTTTGGAAAACTGCTGGTGACTCTTCAAGCCCTTTGTGGTAACCTGTATCAACAAGCACAGAGAAAGAGAAGGTGGAAGGTCCAAACACCAAAGGGCCTCCAGCAGATGGAGATCTGGAGATGAACTTCTGGTGACACTCTGGACCTTGGCCTCAGCTATTCAGGCAAAACCAAACCCCTGAATTTCCCTTCACCGGTGTGTTCCAGATTGCAATGCAAGATGTTTTCAATTGCCATCTGTATGGCAGATTATCTTTGTCAAGTGGGCAGTTTGCCTTATCTCTCTCTTTGAGTGACCACAATCACACCTCCCTCGGGAGGGGACATCTGCTGATAACAGCTACTGAATGTCCCTGCATGGCTGATAAGAACTACAGCATCCCATTGGGAGATGTGAGCCCAGAGGGAGGAGCCAAGCATTCCTGCCTGGATATAATCTGGACATTCTGGAACACCAGCACGGCTTCTGCACTGGATTCCCCAGAGGAACAGCAGCTGCCTCTGCCACTGGATCTTCAGAGGAAGAGACTGCACCCTTCTCCAGGATCCCTGCTCCAGCAGAACCACCCCTGACACTGCAGGAGGGCTGAGCCACAATTCCAATGGGACTGCTGCCAACAGCCTGACCCACAGGGTGTCAGGCTGGGTTCTGACTCTGTCAGTGTTGTTTTAGTTTACTGCATTGTTTATTTTATCCTTTTCTTTTCTTCCCTATTAAAGAACTGTTATTTCCTGCTCCCATATTTTTGCCTGAAAGCCCCTTAATTTAAAACTTATAGCAATTCGGAGGGATGGGGAGGGTTTACATTCTCCATTTCAGGGGAGGCTCCTGCCTTCCTTAGCAGACTCCTGGCTTTCCAAACCAAGACACTGTGCCAAGGGAATGTGTCCTGCCCATGCCCCACTCCACTCCCTGCTCATCTCTGCCTTGGTCCTCCTGGGCACTGATTCACCTGCCTGCACACAGCCTGGGGTCCTAAACAACTGCAAGGTTTTATGGTCACAAAATCACACTGACAACACAGTCAGGGGAACAAAACCTATCCCAGCTACTACTTCTGACTTACACATGGCCTGAGAGTAAAATAAAACAGTTTTACTGCAAAGAAAATGTCTTCTGAGTGGCCAACAAAGCTTTGTACACATTGGTTTGGATGTGTCTTAGTGTTGGGGGGAAGAATATTAGTTATTTAAATTAATTAATTCTATGTATTTAAACTAACAGTTTGGAGATTCTCCATCCCTGGCAGTGTCCAAGGCCAGGCTGGACAGGGCTGGGAGCAGCCTGGGACAGTGAAAGGTGTCCCTGCCATGGCAGGGGTGGCACTGGATGAGCTTTGAGGTCATTCCAACCCAAACCATTCTGGGATTCCATGAATCAATGATATTTCATTTACACACCAATTAGCTGTACTTCTCCAAATATTCATTTTCAGAAGCAATTTATACTCCAAAAGTTACTTATTTTAAAATACCCAACAAAACAACACCAAGCCAGGGGCATCTGCAAAGTTTTAAGGAACTTTTGGCTCTCCCTGTGCCTCAGGTCAGTTTGTTCTCCAGCAGTGGGAGCTGTGGTACAACCTTCCCCAAACCTCCCTCCACCTTAATCCAGTGCTCACATCCAATTAAAGTAATGAGCAATCACCCTTTCAGCAACGACTTGTGTGTTTCTGCTTTTCCAAACTGCCCTTTCCTTGTTTACCTCCTTCCCTTTACACATCTCTCTCCAAAAAAATCAGGGAGACCCCCAAAGGAAGAGCAGTGCAGATGGAAATGTGAAACTCCTGAGTGCAGGAGATGGAAATGTGAAACTCCTGGTGCAGATGGCAGCTCTCCTGGCTATGCCCAAATCCCTGGCTCTCCTCCAGGCTGCCATTAACTCGACTGAGGGACTCTTTGTTTTGGGAGAGGGGAGGACAAAGGAGGCTTTACAGCTTCCAGTGAGTCTGGAGGGACAGGCAGCTTCTTCAGGCAAGAAAATTACAGAGCTCATTGCAGCAGCTCCACATAACCAAAGAACAATGGAGCCATGGATTATGCCATTATTTATGCACACAAATCTCTCTCTCCTACACACATCCCGTGCATCTGGAATAAAAGCCACGGCACCAAATGCAGAGCTGGCAGCAAACAAGCTTTCCTTCAGTGAGAAGGGTAAAGAGGATGACAAGCATTTGGGGGGAAAAAAAAGATAAGCAAGGCAAAAAGATTGTTAATGTTGCAAAGCATTCCCTGTGGTTTCCTGGGCCTGCCACAGTGATTTCATTCCTTGCAGAAGAATGGTCAATGCTCTTTCCTGGTTCCTCAATGGCTGAGGCAAACAACAGGAGCCCAGGGCCAGGAGCTCTGCTCACACAGGGTATCAGCACATCAGCAGCTGTGACAGGAGCGGCTCCCAACTCCAGCAGGATGGTTGGGGAGTTCTGGAGAGCTGAGGGAGAGCCAGCATGCAGCCAGGAGATGCTGCTTCCATTGGGAAGGGAAATGGGGGATAAGAGGGAATTTTGGCCTTTCTAGAGAGAGGTGGGGAACCAGACAGCAGCAAATGGGCCACATTTATTTTGTCTACAATTCTCCTATTCCTCTTACTTTAGGAGAACTGGGAATTTCCTTAAGGTAGCTATTTTGGGGAGTTAAATATGGTTTACAAAAAGGCTGGAGAGGGATTTGGAAAAGGGATGGAGGGACAGGACAAAGGGAATGGCTCCCACTGCCAAAGGGCAGGGTTAGATGGGATATAAGGAAAGGATTCTTTCCTGGCAGGGTGGGCAGGCCCTGGCACAGGGTGCCCAGAGCAGCTGGGGCTGCCCCTGGATCCCTGGCAGTGCCCAAGGCCAGGCTGGACAGGGCTTGGAGCAGCCTGGGACAGTGGAAGGTGTCCCTGCTATGGCAGGGGTGGCACTGGGTGGCTCTGAGGTCCCTTCCCACCCAAACCAGTCTGGAATTCTGTGATCATTTGACATTATTAAACACATCAAACACAGTCTTCTTTCTCCCTCAGATTAACTATTGGACTTTTCCAGCACTGTTACCCTCCTTTCTTCAAGATCCCTCAAGGATTCAAGGCACAGCAGCTTAAAATTCAGGTATAAAGTTATATTAGAGTATTCTAAGGGGGACCACTGCTCCTCATCAAAACTTTAAAGCACATTAACCATTGAGATCTATGGGGTTTTACTCCACAAATACCTTTTTCCAGCACAGGTGTTTTTATTCAACTTACAGATCCACACATGATAGATTCTCTTCACCAGGAACTGGTAATCGATGGGAATTTCATCAGCAAAATTCTGGTAGAAACATGGTTTCAGAGGGATAAACTTGGGGAGTGGTGGGAAGTTATTCACCTTTTCTGGAACAGAGAACACAGATTTCAGCTGGGAGCAGAAATGTGTCATATCCTGCACACCTTCCCAACAGTGCTGGACGTTCATCCTCTCCCCAGACCACAATAAATTGGTTTTCTTCCTCAGCACTGGACAGAATATTTTGTTTTACTACACACAAGGCTGAGAGAGGGGAATAGGAACAAGCTAATAAACATCTCATGGATTTAACACCTTTACACATCACTGTGAAGTTGTGTGAAAAGTGCTGCAAGAAAAAAACCAACTTTAAATAAGCTCCAGAATGAGCTTCCTCAGGAAGGGGGAGGTGTCAGCAACATCTGGGGGAAACAGCTGCAATGAGGTGTTCAGTTACAACCCTTCAAAAATCCACAGCAAGAGGAAAGAAAGGCTGGGGAGTGTCCAGACAAGCAGATTTATCCTCAGCCACCAGCTCTGAGCATGTCCTGGCCATGGCTCAGGCCTCAGGACCTGCTGTAGCCTGGGACAATAAGGAAGGGAGGAATCCCCAAAGTGGAATTGTGTACCCTGGTATCATCCAGTTCATGGGAATAAGTCAGAATTGGGGAGGAATTCCTGGAATTCCTGGCACAGGGTGCCCAGAGCAGCTGTGGCTGCCCCTGGATCCCTGGCAGTGCCCAAGGCCAGGCTGGACAGGGCTTGGAGCAACCTGGGACAGTGGGGGGTGTCCCTGCCCATGGCTTTGAGGTCCCCTCCACCCCAAACCATTCTGTGATTCCATGATTCTGTGTCAGGGATGATCTTGTTTTGAAAACACTCAAGATTTTTAATGGAAAAAGGGTACATTTAAGTTTTTCCTGCAAGGTTAAGCCATAGGGAAAAAAAAAGGCACAGAAAAAATGAAAAAGCTTCGCATTCAGAGACAATAAATCAGCAAATGCTGCCAAAAGCTATATGGTGAAGAAAACTCTACCTTGGGAAGAATTTCTGTTTTAAAATCAAGTAATTAAATGCCTGAATCCTCTGCTGCTGTCAGCTCCCAGCTTTGTCTCTGTGTGCTCCTACATGTTTGGGAATGTTTGCTCTTGCCTTGCAGAGCTGATTAAAGTTTGATTCCAGGGCATTGTGACTAATTGTCTCTAGCCTCCTTCAGCCTCAGTAAACAGAATTAAAAACAAGCAGAGGAAGAGATGAAGAATGTCCTGGGAAAACCTCCAAATGGCACAGGAGACAAGAGGAAATGTCTGAACAAGAACTGTCAGCACCAGAGTTCCCCTTCCCTCCCCATTATCTCCGGCTGAGGAGACATTTTGCAGGAGCAGCTCCTCAGCTCTGTTTGAAGGTTGGCAGGGAAGAGCCTGGAGCTGCAGCCAGGCTTGAGGAAGGAAAAAGGCTTTCCCTCATGCATATTTTCACACAGAAAATATGGTGAGAACGCCCACTGGGAATACATCAGAAGTAGCTCTGGAATAATGTCTGAAGTCACCAGCCCAATTTGACTTCTCCTGATAAAAACAAACATCAAACCCCTCCTCATGCATCCCCCTCAAACACACTTTACATTCATTCAGATGCCCTGCAAGCTGGTTTGAGTTACTGGTTAACACCACTGCTGACTCCATCCCATGTGCAGCTGGTGGCCCATGGATGCTTTCAAAGTCCACAGGAATTTGGACTCCTCTGCATTAATTTTTTGTTTGCTGTAAACACCTGATGGGTCCCTGCAGCCCAGAAAGGGATTTAACAATGCTGGATCAAGGGAAAGGGAGGGGACACAGCTTTTAAAGCTGAAAGGACAGGTCTCTAGGGAAGCCAGGAAGACCAAGATTAATCAAATGCAATAAAAGCAGATTCTCTAATTTATTTTTTTCTGAGGGATGGGGAAACTTTTGTTCTGTCCCTCTTCAACAGCTGAAGCTGCAGATTGTTCCTTTGGTTCTGCTCTCTCCCATTTTCTGTCATGGACAGCAGAGCTGCTGCCAGCTCCCACGTGGTGGGGCCAAAACCAAGCAGCCACTGCAGTTTGCCATTTTTCAAGCTCATAAAATGGTTCAAACACCCCAGGGTTGTTTGCTAGGTACACAAAGCTGGGGATTACACCTCTTCTCTGCTGCTGCCCAGCTGCTGCCCACCTCCTCCCACCCAGACACCCTGCAGTTGCCAGCTGTTCTGGGTTACTTCTGAGATTAGACAAAATAAATGACATGAAAATATCCCCTTTCATGTCTGACTGCAGAACTTGGAGGGCTACAGTTCTCCCATCAAGGCTGGGATCAACACATCTGATCAGCAAATGCACCCCATGCTTTCAAAAACCAAACTGCATCACCCATGAGCAGCAGCTGCAGGCAAATTCCAGACTTCTTATTTGAAAAAAAGGTTGGAATTTTGTTACTAATTTCACTGCAAGTATAATTCAGATGGATTAATGTCAATAGCACAGCTAGGAACACTGTGGAAAACCTCCGGAAAGAAGGAATTATTCTCATGTACTTTGTTTTTGAATCAATTCCACTCTCATAAAATTTTCAAGCAAGTCACAGCTGAACCTTTATCACCTGAGCTGAAACCTCAGGTGACAGAGGAGGCAGGACACAGCAGGAAAGTGAATGTGACCAAGGCAAGAGAAGTAGCTGAAGAGCTTTAGGGATCACCAAGGTCTTGGGAAGGGACACAGGTCACATTCCTGACATGTTACAGCCACCACAGCATCATGAACAACTCTGAAACCACTCTCCCTGCTGGCTGCACCCAAGGTGCTCTTACCTGCCATTTCTAACACTTGTGTTCCCTGGTGAGGTTCCAGACAGAGCAATAGATCTGTTGGAGAATGAAAATCAGGTCAGCACATGGCACAAAGCAGCACCCAGAGAAACCCCTGGAACTGGGAATGTTCCCAGTGTGTGACAAACACAAGTCCAGGGTTCCCACTCGTGTCCATCACCCAGAGGAGGAAGGCTGGAGCCTCCCAAAAGGATCCTGATTTCTCCTTGTGCAGGGGAAGCTCTGTGTCCCAGATTGCAGGGCAAGGTGTAATTTATTACCATCTGGATGGCAGTTGTCTTTTGTTGTCACAGACATCTTTTATGAAAAATCTTTTCTTTAAGATTTTTCCTCCTGAGAAGCTGAGAGGCCTCAGGAACAAAATGTAAACATTGATTATCTGCTGCTGTGGAATGTAACAGGTGCATCTGTGATTGGTCTCATGTGGTTGCTTCTAATTAATGGCCAATCACAGTCAGCTGGCTCAGACTCTCTGAGACAGAAGCCTTTGTTATCATTCATTCTTTTTCTATTCTTAGCCAGCCTTCTGATGAAATATTTTTTCTATTTTTTAGTATAGTTTTAATATAATATATATCATAAAATAATAAATCAAGCCTTCTGAAACATGGAGTCAGATCCTCATCTCTTCCCTCATCCTCAGACCCCTGTGAACACTGTCACATTTTGTCAAGGGGGCAGTTTGCCTTATCTCTCTCTGAGTGACCACAATCACTCCTCCCTAGGTTGGGGACATCTGCTGATAACAGCCATTGAATGTCACTGCATGGCTGATAAGAACTACAGCATCCCATTGGGAGATGTGAGCCCAGAGGGAGGAGCCAAGCATTCCTGCCTGGATATAATCTGGAGATTCTGGAACACCAGCACAGCTTCTGCACTGGATTCCCCAGAGGAACAGCAGCTGCCTCTTCTTCCACCGGATCTTCAGAGGAAGAGACTGCACCTTTCTACAGGATCCCTGCTCCAGCAGAACCACCCCTGACACTGCAGGAGGGCTGCAGCCACAATTCCAATGGGACTGCTGCCAACAGCCTGACCCACAGGGTGTCAGGTTGGGTTCTGACTCTGTCAGTGTTGTTCTAGTGTACTGCATTGTTTATTTTATCCTTTTCTTTTCTTCCCTATTAAAGAACTGTTATTTCTTTTACCTGAGAGCCCCTTAATTTAAAATTTACAGCAATTCAGAGGGATGGGGAGGGTTTACATTCTCCATTTCAGGGGAGGCTCCTGCCTTCCTTAGCAGGCACCTGTCTGTCCAAACCAAGACACTCTGGCAGCAAACAAAAGTGTCCCTGGCACCCCCTGGCAAAGGCTGAGGATGCCCAAGGAGCCCCTGCCAGAACACCTGCAGCTCCCAGGGCAGGCAGAGTACCCAGCAGAGCTCATACATTGGAAGAGAAATGTGCAGAGCTCACCTGACTTAATGCCTCATTTAGGTGCTGAGATGATTTGTTGGCTCCTGGCTCTCTGTGGTGCTTCCCAACTCCTGGAACAAACAGATAATCCCTGTTAGCTGGGCACTAAACTCCTGCTTAACAAAAAAACAATCAGCTGGAACCAAACCCATCACCCCTTGTTATTTTAGAAATCCTGCACAAATGCAGATTCATTCTTCCTGTTACGACACTGAGTGTGGCTGTAGCTCTGGCAGAAGCCAATCCTGGGAAGTTTACCCAGCATGAGCTGTGTTGCTGATTTTGGCAGAGCTGATCCCACAGAAGAAATACACAGAGAGGTCTTTGCTGAGTTTTTAATTCCACCCCTTCTTCCTTAAGGATAAAAACATCATGTGTCCCTACCTGCAAATCCCAGAATGGAAACACAGAACACACAAAGCAACCCTGCAAACCAGCACTGTGGAGTCTGACAGACATTAAGGCAGTCTAGACTAAAATCTGCCCCTAAAAACACCACAGAAACTGCAGCAGCAGTGGAGTCAGATCAGCCACGCTGTACCCAAATCCCTCAGGATTTACAGCAGCTGGTTCTGCTGCACCTCAGTGCTGTCCTCAGGTAAAGTCTGGAGGCTGCACTGGCACAGCTGTTTTCTTGGGCTGCTTTTTCTTTTCTTTTTCTTTTTCTTTTTTTTTTTTGAGCTACTCTAACCTAGCCTGTGAAGACAACAGCACCTGGGACTGTACCACAGCCTGCTCCTCCTCTGCAGAGATGTACAAGCTTAAATATGCTTGCACAGAGGAGAACATATGATATTCCTGGACCAGTCTCTAGGAAGCCCTAGTGTGGGGACAGGAGGCTCTGTCCCCATCCCTGCCACAGCTGAGGTCTCAGGGCTGTCCCTCAACACCAACACTGCCCAACAGCATTTTGTAACTGGGAGCCTTTTCCTTTGCATTTTTCAAACGTGTGAATAGAAAACAAAGGATGAAGATGGTTAAGAACACCATTAAAACTTCACCCCTCCCTTCTGCAGCTGCTCCCAGTTGAGATCTGGGAATTTCAAGAGGAGAACAAATGGCCCATGAGCACTAAAGCACTAAGAGAGAAGAATCCATTACTGAAGAATGAGCCTGCAAATAATCCTCTTCTTCTTCTTCTTCTTCAGAGGATTATTTTGCTACTGCACTTCAGTGTTGGTGTCCTACAGCTGCAGAGGTGTTTGTCCACTGGAAAAGGATCAGAAGCAAAGACTGAGGGGGACATTCCTGCCTTGACAGACCAGACAATGGGTTTCCTGCAATGGCCAAACAATGGTTTTCCTGTGCCCTCCTCTCTAGGAGACCTGTGGTGCTGTGGAGAGGTTTTAACTCAAATAAATAAATAAAGCCTCCAGATAAAGCAGCAGTATGGTGAAGCACCCCCTTGCATCGAAAGATGTGGTTTGGACCCACAAAGCAGCATTAAGAACAATTCTTTCAGCAAGGATAAGCACACATGGCCATGTTTTACACTGAGTAATCCCTTCCTGAGATGTGCTGACCTTCCCAGCTCCTGCTAAAAGGATAGGGACCTTCTTCCCAAGAATTTCATCTCAATATCCAATCTAACTCTGTCCTCTGTCAGTTTGCAGCCATTCCCCCTTGTCCCTTCACTACATCCTCCTATAAACAGTCCCTCTCCAACACATAAATCAGATCCCTATTTACCTGGATATTTTCAGTTTAATTGGAAATAGGTGAAGCCCAAAACCCTGCACCCACTGCAGAGATTTTCCTCATCTATAACCCACTGCTTGTGGAGGGAGGAAAATCCCACACAGGCTAAGGAAACTCTGGTGTGAAGTGAACTTCCTTTTTCCACTGTGCTCATCCATGGTCAATGAATAACTCTGAAGTTCACAGTCCAATGCACATGACTCAGGAGTCCACTGGAGACACTTGGAGCTTTTCTTCACCAGAATCTCACAGAAAAAATGCCCTGTGTCAGGTCCAGGGACAGCACTTCCCTCTCACACCATGACACAAACACCAGCAGTGCTGTTTTTCCAGGCAGACAACAACAGGATTCCTTTGAATGTGCCTGCAGTGTGAAACACTGCACCACCAAAGGGAAAACTTTGTGAAGGAATTCCTGTGGGGATCTGCCTTGAGGCACACTTTGAGTATCACAGAATCCTGAAATATCCTGAGTGGGAAGGGACCCACAGGGACCATTGATCCCAGCCACTGTCCCTCACATGCACCCCAACAATCCCACCCTGAGCACCCCTGGGAGCTCCTGGATGTGGCACTGGGTGCCAGGGTTTAGTTGAGGTGTTGGGGCTGGGTTGGACTTGATGATCTTGGGGGTCTCTTCCAACCCAGTGATTCTGGAATTCTGTGTCCAAACACTCCTGGAGCTCTGGCAGCCTTGGCACCATTGCCTGGGCAGCCTGGGCAGTGCCCAGCAGCCTCGGGGGGCAGAACCTTGCCCTGAGCTCCATGCCAAGGCCTGGCACAGCTGCAGCCCTTGCTGGGCTCCTGTCCCTGTGCCAGAGCAGAGCTCAGCCCCTGCCCCTGTGCCTGCCCTGGGGAGGAGCTGCAGCCCCCGAGGAGCCTCCCCTCGGTCTCCTGGGCTGCAGCTGAACCAGCCAAGTGCCCTCAGCTGCTCCTCAGCCCTTGCCCAGCTCCGTGTCCCTCCTCTGGGCACTCTCCAACAGCTTTGGGTCCTTCTGATCTCATGGTGCCCAAAGTGCCCCCAGCACTGGAGCTGAGGCTGCCCCAGGGCAGAGCAGAGTGGGACAATCCCTCCCTGGGCCTGGTGCCCCCAGCACAGGGTGGCCCTTGGGGCTGCCAGGACCCAGCAGTGACTCAGATCCAGCTTGCACTGACCAGGACCCCCAGGGCCCTTCCCAGGGCGCTGCTCTCCAGCCTCTCATCCCCAGCCTGTCCCTGCACCCAGGGCTGCCCCATCCCTGGGCAGGCTCTGACACTTGCCCTTGTCACTTGTCACATGGCTGAGGATTTCCCAGCTCCCCCATTTGTCAGGCACTCTCTGTGGGGTCTCTCTGCCTTCCAGGGGGTCAGCAGCTTCTCCTAATTTAGTATCCCCAGCAAACTTACAAACTCCTCAGTCCCCTGCTTTATTCTGCCCATGTCAAGTAGTTTTAAAAGTTTGTTATTTCTCCCTGATGTTTTCTCCACAGAAAGGTGGCAGAGAACAAGCAAAGGCCAGGCCAGAAGAGGAGCAGTGACAGGGAGGTGGGAGAGCTGAATTCATTCCTGCTTTGCCATGAACCTACCAAGTGACCTGGAGCATGTCCCCAAGACCAGATTCACAGGACACTGGCTCCTCTCATACCCTGCAGCCAATCCCAGAAGAGCCCAATATTCCAAACTTTCCATCCAACAGATCCCCCAGTTTCTGAGTCCTTGCTTTAGGATATTTTCTGTACTGCCTTTGTATTTTCATTCTGATTTGATGACTCTGCTCCCAGGGAACAAGGGACAGGACAAGAGGAAAATGGCCTCAAGTTGTGACAGGGCAGGCTCAGGTTGGACATCAGGAGGAATTTCTCCATGGAAAGGGGGGGCAGGGGCTGCCCAGGGAGGTTTGGAGTCTCCATCCCTGGAGGTGTCCAAGGAAGGACAGTGCAGTGGGATGGGGACAAGGTGGGGATGGGGCACAGCATGGACTTGATGACCCTGGAGGTCTTTTCCATCTTTAAGGACTCTGATGCAGCAAGGCCAAGAGCTTCCACACAATCCTGACCCCAGGTACAGGAGCTTCCACACAATCCTCACTCCAGGGTTTAGGAGCTTCCACACAATCCTGACCCCAGGTACAGGAGCTTCCACACAATCCTCACTCCAGGTACAGGAGCTTCCACACAATCCTTACTCCAGGTACAGGAGCTTCCACACAATCCTTACTCCAGGGTTAAGGAGCTTCCACACAATCCTTACTCCAGGGTTAAGGAGCTTCCACACAATCCTTACTCCAGGTACAGGAGCTTCCACACAATCCTCACTCCAGGTACAGGAGCTTCCACACAATCCTGACCCCAGGTACAGGAGCTTCCACACAATCCTCACTCCAGGTACAGGAGCTTCCACACAGTCCTGACCCCAGGTACAGGAGCTTCCACACAGTCCTGACTCCAGGGTTTCACCCAGAGCATTTCCCAAGAGCACCCAGAGGGGCAGGACCCCAGCACACAGCAGAGCTGCCCACACTCCCTCATCAGCAGGGATTTAACAACGGGAACACGAGCAGAATGAGGAACTTGGGCACAACACACAATCCTGACAGTGGTTCAAGCTGAGCCTTGGGAAGGACCATCAGCCTACCAGGCTTTCAGATCCCACTCTTTCAGCAGACCCCAGACCTTTCAGAGGAGCCTAAAAGGAGCAAGACCCCCACAGGAATCCCAAAGATTTGGGTTTGAAATCCCCCAGCTCAGCAGAGAATCAGTGCAGCCTCTGCTGCTCCCAACACAAGCAAACACCTTTCTCATGATCCCTCCAGTTGAATTTAAAGAGAAGGTGGTGGCTCTGCACTGGTTTTGAGACAAAAGGCTGGGTTTGAGCCTCTTCCAGATGCCCAGCTCTCACCAGGAACCTTCCAGAGAGCCCAAGGCAGCAGCAGCCACTCCAAAACAATCAGCTCAGCACTATGAACCCAGAGCTGACACAGCCTGGCTCTGGCAGTGCTTCCTCTCCCTGACACATCCCCAGCCCTCAAGGGTGGGACACTGTCCCTGCAGTGACACAGCCAGCCAGGAAATAACTCCAAAATCCATCCAGCACAACCAGGGAGAGAGGGGAAACTCTCTGGCAGCAGTGCACTGAGGAAAGGAGCAGGGGACAGTGAAATTACAAGGGTTATCCCACTTCCATGACATTCCAGGAGGCTCATGGGGACTCTTGGCTGTTCAGGGGCTTCTGCTGCCCCATCTCCCCCATCCTGGAGCTGGGGACACAGCAGATGTGGAAGCAATTCCCCTCAGGGCTCCCCCAGCCTGTTTACACAGCCCTGTGCTGCCTCAGTGGATGGGCAGGAGCCTTCATTTGCCTATGCAAAACCCACAGCAGACAAACATTGATTTTGGTACAACCACATCCAGAAGTGAAGCATGGCTGCTCAGGAACAGACGCTCAGATGGCTCAAGAAAACAGAAAACACAAAAACACCCAGAAACAAGAGGTGGGACAGGCTTAGGACACCAGCCTGTTCCACGCCTTGTCACCTGCTCAGACTGGCCTCACACAGAAGAACTGGACTGCAGACAGCAGCAAAAATATTAAATAGCCCAGAAAAACTGAAATGCAGATAAATCATTCCACCAATTGCTTAATTTCTAACTCACTGCTCTCTTCATTACAGAGTTTCTTGAGAGAGTTACAAAACGCTGAGATTAGAAACAAGAACGGGAAATGAGAAGGGGAAATAAAACTACGACATGCAGGTGCTATCTATCGAGGGCAACACACACATCTGCGGTACCCGAGCCACACAGAGCAGCGAGGTTCACCCTCACAACCCCTGGAGGAGTCACGAATCGCCCCGGCGGCTGTGTCCCCCTGTCCCCGCTGTGTCCCCCTGTGTCCCCGGGGCTAAGCCGGGAAGCAGAGGCGATTCCCGAGAGGCGATTCCGAGAGCCCTGGGCAGCGGACGGAGCCGGTAGCCCCCGGGGAGGGCACACGGGACGCGGCTCCTCCCGCCCGCTGCCCCCGATCGCGGCTCCCAGCGGGGCTGCCCCCGATCCCTCCCCGCCCGGGCTGGCCCCGATTCCCCCTCACAGCCGGCCCGGCCCGTCCCCCCGGAGCTGTCCCCGATACCGCCCCGATCCCAGCTCCCGGAGCTGCCCCGGGACCCCTCCCCGGGCTGAGGGAGGGTCACCGCCACCCCTCGCCCCGAGACCCCTCCCGGCCCTCAGCTCCCCTCAGCTCCCGCTCCCCCGCTGCTGCCTCCCCTCATCCCGCTACCCCCCCTCATCCCCCTGCTCCCCCTCCCCCGGCACTCCCCCGACCCTCAGCTCCCTCTCCCGGCCCCCGGTTCCCCCCAGCCGCGCTCCCCCTCCCCGGCCCCCCTCCCCTCCCCTCCATCCCTCCGCCCATCTCGCCCCCCGCCCGCCCGCTGCCCCCGGCCCGATCCCCCCGCGCCCACCTCAGCGAGCGCCCGGTCCCGCTCCCCCCGGGCCGCCACGGGGCGCACTGGGAAATAGAGTCCCGCCAGTAACCGCCGCCGCTGCGCGCCTCGCGCTGTGAACTACAACTCCCAGCGTGCATCGCGGCGCACACCCACCGCTATCATGTGAGGGGCAGGGCGGAGGGGAGGGGTGGTGGCGCGGGACGGCAGCCGGGAGGCACAGAATTGTCCGAAGTACCGGGAGCGACCCCGGGGCCGGGACACGGCCGGGAGAGCGGGAATGTTCACCGGGAGGAGAGAGGGATCCAGGGACATCTCAGAGCTCCTGCAGGGCCTGAAGGGGCTCCAGGAGAGCTGCAGAGGGACTGGGGACAAGGCCTGCAGGGACAGGACACAGGGAATGGCTCCCACTGCCACAGGGCAGGGCTGGGTGGGAGATTGGGAATCAGGAATTGTGGAATCCATCCCTGGAATGGATTTCCCAGAGCAGCTGGGGCTGCCCCTGGATCCCTGGCAGTGCCCAAGGCCAGGCTGGGCAGGGCTTGGAGCAACCTGAAGGTGTCCCTGCCATGGCAGGGGTGGCACTGGAAGAGCTTTAAGGTCCCTTTCAACCCAAAACATTCTGGGATTCTCTGAACACATTAAACCCAAGATATTTTGCCCCAAATGTTGCAAGATGAAGAAAAGCAGCACCACCCAAGCAAGGGGCCTCTCACGAGGAGCCCTGAGGGCCACCCCAGGAGCAGGGCAGAGGTGTTGGTCCCACACCCACCATGATCACCAGCCGGTCCATCAGCTGGTCCAGCTTGGTTTTCTTCCTCTTGATCTTCCCAGAGTTCCTCATGATTTTGGAATCAAACCCTGGGCAGGGAACATTTCCAAAGTAAAAACGCAAGTCCCAGAAGGTCAGTGAGGCCGCTTCCCTCCATGGTGACACCTGCCCTCCCCTGAGGAGACCCTCCCTC